ACGAATAAATAAACATAGGTAATGTTTCTAGAGAAAACTAATTGTTAGTATTTATATTGCGAATTCGTACCAAATGCAGTGAAAATATTGACGAACACGACGGTTAAAGATATACAGGCCACTATTATATACAGATAATGGTTATAGACATTGGAATATGAATTCCGTGAGTTTTAAAAACTATAGTATGATAATATTCAATCTCGTACATAAAAATTTGATGTGCTTTCCAGAATTATATATTTTAAACCCGCAGAGATAAAATTAATGGACGGAACATGATTTTTTACAAGTCCTCGACGGGGCCCGCGGGGTTGTGGTCTTTTTTGGCAGATAAGAAAAACTGTACGGCCGCATAACCGCACGATAAAGATATGGACAGAGAACACGGCACTGCAGTTTTTACGGTTATATGCCCAAACAATGGACACAATGAAATTGTACCCGCAAAGTAATCGCAATTAATCCCCGTGTGATAGATAAGATCGGATGACCCATCCATTACTTTATTATCTGTGTTCAAGCCGAGGACATTTTCGTGTAGCAAATGAGAGATGTAGGTAATGCACCGAAGTTTCGTCCTGTTTTGTAAACGCAATATTATAAAAACAATTTTCCCATCTAGGCATTATCAACCATATCAAACATGCTCACCCCCAGATTTCACTTTTGATAATGAGTTTATTCAAACTCTGATTTTTGACATTTTTAAATAGGTAGGTAMAGGGTCCGTCAGAACAAACGCATGTTTTTCAAAATGATGCTATGCTCAAAAGAATTTCAGTAAAAAATGTTTTATTACATCAAAAAATGCATACGCATATTATGCAGTTTTTTTATATGTAACAAAATTTAGGTTTTGAAAATAATATCAGGCATATTGAGCCCTTGAGCCACAAAGTAATAGGGATGCAGGCACTCGCGCAACGATCAGTCGACCAACCTAACCTAACCGAAACTTTTCTCACCACTTGAGTGATCTCGTCTTTCAATTCATCAAAAGGTTTGTGGTTTGTATTGGTAGATTTGATGTTATGTGACTTTACTAAAAAAATTRCATGTTTTCAAGGCAGAGGAGCAAGGGGGCCACGGAATGTCCCCAAAACGTGAAATGAGSCATATGTATCAAAACCTAAATTTTGTTACATATAAAAAAACTGCATATGCGTATGCATTTTTTTATATAATAAAACATWTTTTACTGAAATTACTTCGAGCGTAGCATTATTTTGAAAAACCTGCGTTTGTTCTGACGGACCCTGCATGTA